CACCCCTAGTATCAGTGAATGTAATTGACCCCACTATCTCCATCATAGATCCACCCTAGACTACATGATTATTATTATCACGAGCTTTGCTACGGGACCTAAAATATGAGACCAACAGGGGGGACAGATGAGGTGTCCCCTTCCTATTGCATAATGAGTTGGTCATCATTAATGATGGCTAGCTCATTATGCAATAAGATAGGGACACCTCACATGCCCCCTATTAGTGCCATACACCCCTAGTATCAGTGAATGTAATTGACCCCACTATCTCCATCATAGATCCACCCTAGACTACATGATTATTATTATCACGAGCTTTGCTACGGGACCTAAAATATGAGACCAACAGGGGGGACAGATGAGGTGTCCCCTTCCTATTGCATAATGAGTTGGTCATCATTAATGATGGCTAGCTCATTATGCAATAAGATAGGGACACCTCACATGCCCCCTATTAGTGCCATATTTTGGGACCTTGGAGAATTTTTCTTATTATCACTTTTGATGAGCTTTTTAAAACAAGAAAATAATCTGTTGACAAACCAACAAAACACCAAGGGTTTATATACAATTTTCCCTTCTTAATCTCTGAGGATCGATTAGCAAAATACTTTAGTGAGGCTAAAGTTGCAAGTAGTGCATGTTTCCAAGGAAGGCTCCTATTCCCAATGGTTTCCGCTCCACTCCACTCCACTGTTGACAACGCGGCGGCATAAACTTCCAAAAGCTTTCTTCCCATTTTTGGAAAAAACCCTGATTCTTCATCAACATTAAGAATCTTTCTTTTTTTTCCTTTTTTTCTTTTCTTTAATTAAGCCTCTCCACCATTATTTCTCTATATAAACCCTAACTTAGCTTGCAAACACATATTCAAGTGGGTAAAAAATAACTATAATTAGATTAAAAATGACAAGAATGATAGAGCCGCTTACAGTTGGGAGGGTGATAGGAGATGTTGTCGATGTTTTCAGCCCAAGCGTGAAGCTGGAGGTCGTTTACGGATCGAATAAACAAGTTTATAATGGGCATGAGCTCATGCCTGCTGTTGTTTCTTCAAAGCCTAAGGTTGAGATTGGCGGTGATGATATGAGAGCTTCTTACACTTTGGTGAGTAGTTGATTTGTATAGAATTTAAGCATGCATGCAACATATTTATAAGTATATATTATTTCTATTTTTAAAATTTCTTTCGGGTTTTTTTTTTTTCCTCCTTCCTTCGGTAGATCATGACAGATCCTGATGCTCCTAGTCCTAGTGATCCTCGCTTAAGAGAACATCTCCACTGGTTAGTCAATTTAATTTTTTTTTTCAAGTACATAATTATAATGTTCAACTCGATCTTATCGTGAGCTGAGATCTATCGGATCAACTCAGATTCAAATCTCACGTACGTACCATTGTATAATTAATTTAAAATAGGTTAAAAGAGTAGCATTTCTTAGAAAACACAGGCTTCGAAATAAGAAAAGGAAATTACTGTTTATGGTGAGAATTAAGAGTTTTTATAATTTTATAGTCTAAAACAAGTTTTTAGCTCCTAACAAATTAATTACTTACACATCTTGTTTATTGATGTGTTCCAGGGTTGTCACTGACATTCCGGGCACCACTAATTCCTCATTTGGTGAGTAGACAAACTCGACACGCGGTATTTAATGCTATATTTCAAGACTAATTAATTCTCAAATTATATATACTCTTTAACAATTAAGCTCGACATAATAACTTTATGAATACAAATGCAATAGCTAAGTAACCTATTCACTCAAATTCAAAGTCATGGTGCAGAAGTTTGTAATACTTAGTTAGCTTATATATATATATATGTAACTTCTCTTCGTTTTTGTGCATTCAAAAACTACATGCTTCCTGATTGATGTTCGTTTTCTTAAATGACGTCCTGTTGAAATTAAATGTATCTCAAACTTTGCAGCTAGCTACTATATACTGGGCATCATGAATTAATATGCTGAGAAACATGAAATTAAAGTGGCTTTGTTTTCATTCTATATTTAATTTTTAGATATAATCATTTCATCGATCATGACATAATGAAATGTGTAGAATGACTTATATTTTCACAAGGATTAAACAATAAAACAAGAATAGTGATAGAATTATAAGGAAAATCATACACGTATTTCTACCTAAGACCTTGGTTAGAGAAAATTCAGTTTTAGAACATAATCTCCATGTTAAAGATGAGAAATAAAACAATCACCAAATGCCTCAAATACACGTGTATCTACTATTTATGATCCATATGTTGTGTGATTAAGTAATAAGATGTAAACTAACTAACTAATTAACTGAGCTGAGGGAGCGAAATTGATAAGAGTCCTTTGAAATTATGACCTTATTGGGCATGGAAAAAGTTGCATGACAACCATAATGTTTCTCTTGCTACTAATTAATTCACTGAAAAAGAAACATTTATAGAGTCTGTTATCGGCCTGAACTTTCATCATTATATACGTACCTAATATGATCAGAAGAAAATGAATTATACATGCATGAAGATGATCTTAGTTAGGTGACAAGTATACAATCTTCATATATAGTTACCAATACGTGTATCATTCAACAACTGTCATGCGCATTGTGAAGAGACATCATCACTTTATAACAATCAGTTGAAGGTACTGAATTTGCTCAATAAACTATAAGCTCAACTTGTCATCTCATCTCTTACTTACAAAAACTTGAAACTGCAACATTCAGGCAGGGAAATTATCAGTTACGAGGCCCCAAAGCCTGTGATAGGCATCCATCGCTATGTCTTCGTCCTCTTCAAGCAGAAAGCACGCGACACGGTTCGCCCCCCTCAGTCCAGAGATTGCTTCAACTCCCGAGTGTTCGCTGATCAGAATAGCCTCGGCCTCCCTGTGGCTGCAGTGTTCTTCAATTGCCAGAGAGAAACAGCCTGCAGAAGTCGACGCTGATTAATTAACTAATGCTAGGTATTGTTAGTTAATTGTCCTATATATAAATCTCATATATACTATCGTTTTGTCGTTCATCATACTATATATATATATACACAGATACAAGCATGTAAATATTAAAAATCTGAACCTAACTCTATTTTTGAAACTACAATTTATTGCTTTAGTCTTGTGTAGTAGGACAATAGTACTTATATATATAGAAATAGAATTATGATTAAACTTTGCAAAATTTTTATGCACTTTGGGCGGCTTCGTAAAATGATCATAAATGTTTTATACAAAATTAAAAAAAAAGGTAGCATGAATTTTCAAAACCGCACAAAGTACACCATGAGCTATTGGAAGTTGTTTCCAGTATGGAGGTTAATTAAGTGTTGAATGAATTAGGTCTAGATTAGCTACTCTTATTTACATCTATATATCAAACTACAAATTAAGTTCATAGGCATAATACAAAACTGTTCATAACATACCACGTGCAAGTCACGTGATATTAAATCCTAACCCAGTCAAACATGGAAATTTGGTGAGAAAAAACTTCACAGCAATTTCTCTAAAATTAAAAAGGTTATGAAAATTTTGTCCGAAAAAACACGTAACACCCTATTAATACTAATATTAATATTCATGGTAGTTTTGTGAAATTTTTAAGGGAACATATATAGTATGCTTAGAATTTCCTCACTATGGGACTATATATCATAATTAATATTGATGATGTCTTTTTCCCTCCTTTTTTTTTTAAAGGAATATATTGATGATGCTCTAACTCGAAGTCTGATTGGAGGATGGCTGAAGATTGCATGTTGTAGCTCTCTGGATCAGTGAAAGAGCGACACGTCTGGAGTCTAAAAAATTGTACGGAGCCAGAAGTTAAAACCGACTATTGTTTGTCTCTATCAGTTGTGTACTTGATCTCTTTATATAATGAATTTTAGTAGTACTTGTTCCCGGCTTTCGGTATATATATTAGGGGTTGGTTTGGTTTAATTTCTAAAAATAAAAAATAAAAAATAAAAGGAAAAGTACTAAAAATTTTATTTTATTGTATTCCTATTAAAAAAATATATATGAAAACTTTATAGAACTAAAAAAAGTATAACTTTTCTTGTTTCTTGCTCTTTCTTTGTTTGGTTCAATACAAGAAAATGGGTCCATAATTCTATAGAAAATATATTGTTTTTTTTTTAATTTTGTTTGGTTGGCCATGAAAATTTTTATAGAAAAGTGCAAGTCATGCAAGAAACTTTAAAATGGCTAGTCGCTAGTTTGGTACAAATTAATGTTATAAAATCCTTCTATCCTCAACTTACCATGAACCATTATCCTTGTTCTTCACATTTAATTATTAACTTTAGTTCAATTTAGCAACAACAACAACACACCTAACTCACCCCCACAAACTAATTTTCAAATCACATTGCGAAACCAAAAAATCACCTACTGAAAATTTTCCGCTCAAAAATGGGCTTGAGAAAACCCTAATAAATTTTCCGCTCAAAAATGTCCACTGAAAATTGAGATGGGGATGGGAAATAGGGTATGTGCTAGTTATATTATTATTTCAATGAGAATTGTAAGATTTCTCACTAATTTCCTTCCATTTTGAGAGGAAGTTGATTTTTATAAAATGAAGTATTTTTTCCCTACTTTATAGAAAATATTTCTATAAAACTTTTTTGAACCAAACACAGTTTATAGAAAACTATAGGAAAAATTTAATTACAAAATTGTCATTATCACGTGTTTTCCCAAAAGTTTTCTATAAAATGTGTGAACCAAATGCCCCCTTAATCTATCGTCTTTATCTTGTCACAGACATTGTTTGGACGCTTCTTTAATGAGTGCAATAAAGTCTATATGATATAGCACTTAAATACATTTTTGTTTCATGTGTTTTGCACTTATATATCCTCATTTGTTTTTGGCAGAACTTATATATCCTAAAGTTTCTAAAAGTTATATTTTAATATTTTATTTTATGTAAACTTGATAATTTTACACCGAAATTTTCTCATGTAACACTCATATGCTAATTGTAGAACTTAGCCACTTATGTTTGTTAGATTTAATTTAAACCTACCATACTTTTATTTTAAAATATAATTAAGGTATGCTTTAAAATAGAATTAGGGTACACTTAACAGTGAATTCAACAGACACTAAAGGTTAAGAAGTTCTTACATCAACTTGTGAGTCTTACTCAGAAAACCTATAAGTAAAATTTTAACGTTTGCATAACATGAAGTGTTAAAGTGCAATTTTTAAAAAGTTCAGTGTACTCAAGTGTTGCCAAAAACAAGTGAGTGTATATAAGTGCAAGATAGGGAAAACTATACATTATGTTTAAGTATTAAAGTGCTAATTAATTGGCCAAGAATAAAAGATTTAAAGAAAAATGAAAACTAATCTTTGGTGAAGTTTGTAACTAAGTCTAGATAGTAAGTGAAGAATCTCACAAATCTAAATATGATTGTCATCTCATTGAAGTGCAACATTAACCAAGTTTTTTCATTCGTTGCAAGGTGATAGATATTATACGTTTATAAACAAAAACTACCGTCTATAAATAAAACTAAAATATGTATATGAAGAAACTTAAAATGATGTCCGCACATATGCTAGACTTCCAAATGTAGAAATGGGTAAGTAAAACAGTGCTTGGCTGGCCTATTAGCATCTCTGCGTTTTATACATCTTTTTATTTAGATGACATGATTATACATTTAGAATAAAAAGATATATCCATCAACCATCACACAACTTAAGATATTTGGTAAAAAATGTATCCATCGATCATCGTCACAAATCTTTTATACAGTGGAAGGGGTCTTCAACATGGTACGTATGAAAGCAACCGAAGTTCAAGTCTCAATATCCATTATGCATATTAAAAATATTAGAAAAATAAAATACTATGTAAATATAGATTTCAATCCATAAAAAAGACCTATCAACATGTGAGGCATATGAGAGTAAAACTATATTTCTCGACCCTCACAGCTACTCTGTGAGCTTTCAGGTAGTAAAAGCTTGAAACTAATTTTATTAGTTTTAATAGGGCTAGATGAACAACTATCATGACCCTATTGCATGACTAAACTAGTTATGCCCATATACCTCGAAAAAATGAGAATGAGGTGACAACTCGTTTTGCTTAATAAGCTATCAAGAGATAGGCATGTGATGTGCCACCTTGCTAATCTCATCAGATGGGTGGGTCTCATCGAGCTTTATCTCTCAGTAAATTATTTAACAAAATGAATTGTCGCCTCAGAACCATCAAGCCTTACACACACACTTATTTATATGTGTATGTATTCATATGAAATAATAGGAACAAGGTGATAGGTCACTTTGATATCACATCGGAAGCAGACGGATTTCACTATTATTGTCTTTTAGCACCTCGTTTAGCTTGCTAAATGAGATGACATCTCATATCTAGTATATCCCGTAATTTGTATACATGTGAAATTTTAGGTGTGAATTGGTGGCTCACTTTTCTTGAAGTTTGGTTGTCACAAGGTTAGGATCTACAATGAATTATCACCAGCATGGCAGGATTTAGGTTCCTCAAATCATATGGGACATGAAGCTGTTAGTAATTGATCATTCAAAATATGTTTTTATCTTGTTATATATATCTCTGCACCATGCTCTTTACCATTAAAAGCCTTGTATATCAGTATTACTAGGCGTTGCAAGCTTGGATCCCAATAAGCATTTGGGAGTGAAACTTGAATACCAATTGCATGCTCTCCGTAGCAAGAAATAATATTCGGCACCCTTAGGCATGCACCAATACTCCCTCCTTCAAAATAGGCCTTGCCCTCAAAGGTCTTGCTAGCTCTTGATATCCAAATTGATCCCATCAATCTATATGAATGTCATCAGTTTTGTCCATCCCTAAAGCTTGGACATGATAATCTGCACTATATCATTCATCAGTAGACTTCAAGAACCTTTTTTTATTTTATTTTTTTGGGACCTTTTCATGACATGTGGATTGCAATAGGACAGTCCTTGACCACAGGGACCTAAGTCCAGTTGGTGATCCATATTAATTACTAACTTTTTCTTCAACCGATGCATTCTCCAATTTTCATTGGTCCACGAGAACGCAACCAACTTAGCCATAGAAATAACCCATAATCTTCTTTCTATAGCATGACCGCACAGAGCAAAACCATTCAGGAAATCAACAAAAACTGAAGTCATAGGCTCAAAAGAAAGTGGTTTCATGAAATTCTCAAAAGACCCTTGAAGCTTTTCCTATAGGGAACCTGGATGTGGAAAAAACAACACCATCCATGTTGATTATTAGCTGCACAAAAGAGAACTGATCTGGGTAAACTGGCTGAAGTACGCACCTATACGGAATTTCTGAATCCAGCTGCAACCTCTCAGTTGTGAGAACTTGTTGAGAGGGACGTGAATATAACCTCTCTAATTGGGCATTAGCAAACGCTCGCAAAGATGGTTTTGTATCTGAATTTCTCGACTTACTTCTTAAACATTAATTGCAACGATTTGTTGAACCACGCAAGATTCCATGATACCTTCGAGTTCTCGATGGGGAAATAGTTGAAAACTCTTTCTTCATAATATTTTCTCCTCTCGAGCACGACTCGTCAATTTTTCACTGTTACAAAAATGCATACAAAGATAGGCCCCCTTACAGCAACTGACCTGACATCTAATGGTAGTTCAAAGAGCATAAATGGAGCGTCGTTCCAAAACATTTCCATCTCTTGCAACTGAGGCTTGTTTATATTAGTTAGAACTAGCCATGGTAACTGAGGACTGTACTCATTCACACTCATAGCTTCTAAGTCTCAACACCTTATCCCCTATGATTTCTTTCATTGCCAAATATCCCAGAGAAATCTCAGTTTGCTTACTCGCTTCATTTTGTTGAGCAAAATATAACCCCAATAAATCTGCTCCCAAGGTTTCAGAAACCATGCTCTCTCCTATCTTACTTGAAGTCGTCTAATGGAATTTCATCCATTGACCCCTCAAGTCTTTAATAATTGACATGAACTCTGAAGGCTCCGCAGTTTGAATGAGCAAGGATTGAGATGAATTTTGGTGCGTTCACATCGAAGAAATCTAATTCAATGATACCCCTCTCCAAAACGTCCTTGGATGATGAATGAATATCCTCAAACCGTGAAGTTAACAAGTTACTCTCATGAGGAGCGTCTGCATGCTTATCATCATAATCATTCCAAACAGGTGCATGATTAATAGGCAAACAAGTTTACCCGCTTTGAATTGTCGAATTCAAACTCATGGATCTAGGTTGGCATTAAGGGTGAGCTTACTTGGTTATTTGATCGATCAGTTTGGAGGCTCAAGCGCTTGGGAGAATCAACTGACAAAGGTGAATTCATTTGAGCATTTGGTCGAACAGGCTGTGGGCAAAGGTTCTAAGCAGCATCCAAACCCAAAGGCAAATTTCAGGAGGCTGAAGAAGACCCTGCCCCTCTAACGTTGATTGGAATGGTCTGAGTGTCGAACAAAAGAGGTCAACAAAATGCTGATATTTTGGATCCCATCCTCCAAATTTTTCAAGCGGTCGATGGTAGTAGGTTTGTTAGACAGGCCAAATCGTAGAGGTGATACCTAGCAACCAAGCTCACCATTCACCCGCACAAACTGAGATCAGTGTTAATTTCTTCATTGTCAGTGGCTGCCGATGGTGATGGAGTTAAGGCTACCAGTTGGGAATTCTGTCGAACAGGTGGTGTGTGATCAAAAATAGGCATTGGAGATGCAAACGAGGTTTTCTGCAATGGTGAGCATAGGAATGAGGTAGAATGTAAATGGAACACAGGAGGTGGAATGGCTCCGATTGGGTGGTGGTGAAATTTGTAAGGGAAAATGGTTTGGTGGGAAGTTATGCAAACCTGAGGTTGGAGACGATGCAGAGGGCGGACCTTGTTCATGTTGGGCAGAAGATGAGGATGAAGGAACTGGTTTATGAGGGGTATAGGATTGTGATATAAATGATGAGGGTTTTGGTTGTTGTATGGTTCAAGTTGGTCTGAAGTTGGATATGCTGCGAGATAATTCAGGTTCACATAATGTGATGGGGGTGTTTGTTGGTAGGTTGTGAGGTTAGGGACAAGGGATTGAGGTGTAATATAACAGGAAGGTGGTGATGGTGGTGGACTGTAATAAGATGGATTAATATGAAAGAAGAATCCCCAGAGGGAGTGAACGGAGCTGCGCGAAGTGAGAACTAGAGCTTTAGGTTAACGTCACAGAGCCGGTAGGAACGACACGTGCTGTATGAAACAATATGGACGATGGTGGCAGCGGAGGATATGATGATGGGTGAAGTGGTCAGCCATCACCTCCAGACAGTCCGCTTAGGCATTCTGTAGAACACGCTGCGAGCACCATTGTCAACGGGTGAAGAGGGCTTGTCGGGTGCGAAGGGATGGCGGCAACAGCTGTGTTGGCTGTGGGCCCGGAGATAGCTGCCAGCAGTATCAGAGGCGGCTGGCGACCAGCTCTGATACCATTGTTGCAAGCTTGGATCTCAATAAGCATTTGGGAGTGAAACTGGACACCAATTACTCTCCATAGCAAGAAATTAAGAGCTAGAAGAAGACAAGAACTGAACAATGACAATAGAAAGGAATTGCATAAAAAGAAAGACGAGAAAGTTAGAAATATTAGGCAACTATCTAATTAAGATATAGAGAACCCTAACTCTATTACAAGGGAAAACTAAAAGAAAGAGGAAAGTAAACGAACACAATACTCAGCCTAAAGTACTCTTCCTCTAATGTTACTTATATAGTGTAACTCTTTGCATCCAAATCCCCAAGAATCCTAAGTTGCAAACTACTTGCAAATAATCCCCTCGAAATGTTGCTCTTGTATAAATAATATTTGGCACCCTTAGGCATGTATCACTAGAATTTTCAATAGTGCCTCCTTGGTTTTTTTTTACCCTGATACTAGTGATCTACCGCTGTATTTGAGGAACTTCTAAAGATAATATTTAGCAAAGCATGCACTCAGAAGTCTGCACAAGGACACAAATAACTTGAACTAAATGTACTAGAACTCCTACTACTGATGTGTGAGAAATTCAGCACCTCAAATTCACAGGGATAAACAACGAAGCACAGATGAAAAAACTATTTATGGAGCCTTTGCTGTTTCCCTGACTATAGCTAGCTTGGCCAAAAGACCTGAGAGTTGAAGAAGCGAGCCAACTCCATCACAAATTCTCATGTGGGCAAATCCTGTTTCCTGTAATCAGATAAATGAATGCAGTGAATACCTCAAAATATCAGCCGTTGGTCATAAGATGACACTTTTGAACAAAATACTTAATTGACCAGTCACCTTGAGGAATTCCAGCTTCAGATACTCAGCCATGTCATAGTTTTTGATAATTCGAAAGAGAGTAGTGATTATGTCAGTAGGCGAATAACCTAAGTCATAAAGTTGCTTCAGTCCAGCACAGGCATCATCGAATTTTCCTTCAAGTACATTTCGGACCATATTTTTAACATGCAAAGGGTGAGGCTGGTCACAGACCTAAATGCAAGAAAACAATACTTGGTAAAATTTGATGAAGTTGAGGATAGAAGGGAGTTGCCAGCTTTACATTCCAACCTTGAACACGTTCTCTTGATTGACGAAGCAAAACCCACTGAATGTCGCTTGCAAGTTGTTCAAAGCCTGCCTCATATCGCCGTCAGCTGTGAATATTATGGCCTCAAGGCCTTCCGGCACATAGGGAACCTATGAATAGTGAAGAAATGAGAAGAACGTAAGTGACAATTGAATGCGTACAGAATCTTGTATAGGTAGGGTGCCCCCGAGGACTACCACCTTCACTTGTCAAATATTTAAAATTATAAGCTAAATATATCTAGGCTAAACCACAAACACATACAGCATCAGAGCCAGAAAAGAAAATTCTCAGAGCTCCACAGTCTGTCAAAGATATCACTCTGAAGCACTTTAAAATATCTTCAATTCTGAATTAGCATTGCAGAGCAGCTTATGGATACCATTACATCTCCACATAAAGATAGTTTACATGAGTACGTAGTAAAGAAGTGTGACATTTTACTAGTCAATCTCCCTTCAGCAGAATGACAAATCGTATCTTGAAAGGACACTTGACAGAATCTATAGATTTTGATTACTAATTTATAGGTAGAGGATTGTTAGTAGATTCATTTTCTTTCTTTTCTCTCTTTTCCACGTTCACCAACCAAATCACGTTTCTGGATTAGTGCTAGTCATGATAAACAGAATGAACATACCCAGAATATACCAAATAAACTGGCATTTGACAATTGATATTGTAACTAGAATGAACAAGTACAAAGACAAGCATCTGGTATCAAGAACCTTAGGGTCTCAATGTCTACCAACTGAACACCCTGAGTATAGCCTATGTTGAGTAATGATCCACAGGCCATAGATTTCAAGTCCCACAAAGGCCTCAGATCCTTGGGGTAGTATCAAAAGTCAGTTTTTGATCTACATTGTCTATAAAAAACAAAAGCTCATGGCAACATTTAATCATTTATTTCCCTATACAGTATATGTAAGGAAAAGTGATGTGATGCTTCCCAAAGATATCATGAATTTTCCATTTTCTATCAATCATCTAACAAATCTAATTTAACCTTGCTCATGTCAGTTCAGAAATGAATTTTTGGTTCCTAAGATTTTAAAGCAAATAGCAATACCCTAGAAAAGAGAGAAACCACATTTGTTGGGAAGAAAACTCCATACATGGACAAGCAACTCGGATAACTGGATCTGAAGTTCAGATCATATGGTACTGAGCTAAACTTGTAATTAGACAATTTCAATGTCTTGATATGAGAACCACATACTGAGACCACTTTCTTTCTGAACAAGTCACAAAAAACAGACTCCTACAGGAAGCAACTTAAGACATGATGTTTTAGTGAAAAAAACACGGACATAGATATGCTCACATGAACACAACATGACACACCACGACAATGAAAAGCTATAGAACTACTTACAGTATAGAAATAATAGAGATCTGTTCTATATTGCACATCGAGGTAAGAAATAAATTCGTACTCATTTCCTCGTATAACCATAAACTTAGTCCATTGGACCATGTAAGCCCATCAACACTTCATCAACACCCCTTCATCTTCAACACTTCATCACCACCCCTTCCTCTTCAACACCAACATAAAAGGGTAATTAAGATAGTAAATAAAAAGTACAAAATAATTCTTTATTCTTCAACTAGTAACATATGTGACACCTTATGGTGCTAATTGAGTTATCTCTTACAATTTATAAGTAGTGCAAGTGCGATAAAATCATTTTTCTATGACCCTTCAAGCTTCTTAGCACCTCTTTTTCCTTGAAAAATCATAAAGATTGTATAGAAGCACTACTGGAGCTGTAGAACAGGAATCACATTTTTCCAATTACAGTACAGTTTATACTGTATCACTTCCCTTTGAACTTCCTTGAGCAATTTTCATCAGACGTCCTAAGAACTATGCCATTGAGGTTGTATTATGTATGCTTGTGCAGAATTCATTCACCAATATATAAGCGTGTTTATATGTCTAAGCAGCCAAAACAAAACTGCGAAATTATGAGCATTTTTAGAGCAGTTTAACAAGTATCTGCCTGTTATTTACTAGGCTTAATACAAAAACACATGTTATCCCTAAAGTTAGTGAAATATTCGAGTGGAAGAGATGAGAACTGTAGACATGAGTTAATAGAGGAAATGGGTATGCTTCAGTCATCAAGGTGCAAAAAGCCTAAAAGTAATTTTTGGGTGCTACACAGCTAAGGTATGAACAGCAAATATAAATAAGTGGTACCAAATTTGTACCAAAAGAGATGGGAATCGACTATTTCCAATTTCAATTTGTTTAATCATAATGAAAGTTTGCTACATCAACCAATTTGATGATTTATGACCAGCAAAAAGACATACTACTGAAAAATCTAACTTCGAAAGTTTTCGGTAAACCCTCCTTCCTTCTAAGGACCAAGTTACAAATCCAACAAAACAGAACTCTTTTTTTGGCTCTTCAATTGGATTATGGCCATTCCATTTTGCTAACTTGTTATAATTACAACAATTTTGAGTTGAATAAGCCTTTGTAGCGGCAACACCTAATAAGAAATGTACCTGCTTTTCTAGTTTAATGTGCCTCAAATTTAAAGCTGAAAGCCCCCAAGCAGAGTAAGGTTTCTCTATGACTCTTAAGTAACACCTCTAGTTTACAAAGGTGTATCTCAGCACATAACATTAATTTTTACTGCATATACTTCACGAAGAGCTTCAAATAACTTCCTCCACCTGGGAGATTTCATTTGAACTCATAATAGTAAGGGAGAGGTAAACCCAAAGAAGTGACTCAATTTCCACAATGAAAATAATTCCATTTCACTGTCTGGCTTTCACGACCACCAGTAGGAGAAATCTGAGATAGGTGAATCTAGAGGAATGTAATTCTTTATTAATGGGAATACAAATTTGAAATTATTCATCATGATTGTTATCTAGATTATTGTGATAAGGGATTTACTTTAACCTAGAGTTTGTAGGACACTCAAATAGTTGTTGAGCGTCTGAGCAACAATACCCAGAAGAATATGTTGGGACCAATGTTGAAATTAACGAAAATAGGTTACGTAACGCTTACCTCCTGTTAAGGGTTAAGGAAAAAAATGCAAAAAAACGTAACGCATAACGTAGGTTATATTGTTTACTAATTATTTAGATATTTTATAAATACTAACAATTCGTAAAAACTTTAATACTTAGAATCAAACTTTTCAAACATAACATCACAATTGTCAAATATAGAAATATAATATCACAATTTCTTAACAAAAATTAATCATATATGACTAAAAATCATTCCAAAAGGCATCATCAAATGATCAAATATATCCTAATTCTTAATTTAAGTTCACAACATAAACCAAGACCAAGCATGATTATCAAACAGTAAAAATCTAACACACATAGTGATTGCAAAATGCAAACTGAATTTCATGAAATTAAGCCTAATTAACCTTATAATCAATCAAAATCTAAGCAATAAAACTTAATTAACTTGATAATGGAGATGGGTGAATGATTGTGCAAGCTGAGGAAGATGGAGTTTGAGAGAGATGGGCCACTGTTTAGGTTCGAAAGGGAAATGTCTGAGACTCAAAAGGAGCTAAATTAACTTGATGGTGGAGATAGGTGCTCGACATGATTTCATCGCCAAGGAGGGAGAGAGATTTTGTCGAAGGTTGAGGCGGGAGAGAGCTTTCGTCGAAGGTTGAGGCAGGAGAGAGCTTTCGTCGAAGGTTGAGGCGGGAGAGAGATTTCGTCGAGGATGGATGAAGGGATTGAGAGAGCTGTTCGTCGAGGTGGAGAAGTGAGAGATTCCTTCATTGAGGTGGAGGAGGGAGAGATCTCATCGTCGTCGAAGGTGGAGGCAGCGAATAAAGACCAGAGAGTCGGGTGAGAGGAAATTAGGGTTTTGGGGAGGCGGCTACCAGCGAATTAGGTGCGAGGGAGTTTGGGTGAGAGAGGGATGAGTTTTTGTATAAAATGGATGGTGGATATCAAATCTACGTTTCCAAAAAATCAAATGCATCTAACTTAGGTTATTTTGGGTCATGAAAGTAACGCGTTTAAACCCTTGTTTGTGTTTTTTCAAATAATAATGTGTTATATTGTGTATGAGTTAGGGGTGGGTGCGGGTTGGGCTGGTTTAGGCCCGTGACCCGGCCTACTGGGTACAGTCAAATAGTAATCAAATTTAAATATATTTAAATATCCTAAATAATAAGAAAATTCATAAAAAAATCTAAAAATTCAATTAGTTGTAAATTTCTTGTATTATCAGTAAATAACAATTAGTAGGCTTGTTGTATGAATGAAACTATGAAGAAATTCAAGAAATATAGCATCATAATGTGTGATAGCGGGTTTAGCCGCTTTTAACCCGAAAATCCGCTTTAAACCGCGAAAATCCGCTTTTAACCGTGAAAACCCGCTTTTAACCCGCTAAAATCCGCTTTTACGCGCTATTCGAATGAATAGCAAATTTTCCCGCTTAAGCCAGCCGCGAAACCCCTACGCGTAGCGTTGAAGGGTCGCGACCGCTATTCGCGCCGCTATAGGCGCGCTATTGGCCGCTATTTACAACACTGGGCTAATCTAGGCACGACCAGGTCAGAGTGGGTCGGGTCTATTTCTCTGGTCCCAGGTCTAGCACTGGACCCAGTCCGACCCACAACCAGCCTAGGGCTCGTGAGCCGGCCCATGAGTTTTTCATCCATACTTTTTCCTATGTTTTATCTTTATAATTATATTAAACTTGTATTTACAATTATAAAATTATTTCTAATTTATTTTTTTGTAATTTAAATTTGTATTAAACTATTTTTAAACTAGTATTAAACTTTTTAATTCTTCCAAGTAGACAGAAGCAAGCTTAAATATTGCTATTTTGTTTCTCAGTGGGCTAAAAGGCCCATGAGCCAAATACCTATAGCCTTTTGGCTTTGTTAGCAGCTAGCTACAGGCTCAAAAGACTAAAGAAAAAGCTAGTTGCAGACCTAAATGACTAAAAGAATAACTAGTCCAACTAAAACAATATCATGGATCGGAACGGGTCGGGCTGGGCCAGGTCGCGTGTGGGCCGGGCCTATTTCTCTGATCCCGGGTTTGGAGCTGGACCCGACCTAACTGGTGATCCCGGTATATCATG